CCGCCCCAGCACTGCCTCCCCCTGCCCCCAGGCCGAGTGCATGAACTTCGTGAAGATCCTGCACCCCTACAACCGGACCCACCTGTACGCCTGCGGCACCGGTGCCTTCCACCCTGTTTGCGCCTTTGTGGAGGCCGGCCAGCATGGTGAGGTGAGCCCCCCCTGCCCCCGGCACCACTGTGGCCCCCAGCTGCTGCTGCCCGCCCACCTCCTGTCCTTACCCCCCTCCAGGAGCCTGTCTTCAAGCTGGACCCCCAGCGCACTGAGGACGGCAAGGGGAAGAGTCCATACGACCCCCAGCACGCAGCCGCCTCCATCCTCGTGGGTAAGGGAGAGCCAAGCCCAGCACTGGGGGACAGTGTGGCAGGGGGCTGCCAGGGCGTCCCCCCTAACACTTCCCTTGGTGCCTGTCAGGCGAGGAGCTCTACTCCGGGGTGGCCACCGATCTGATGGGCCGTGACTTTACCATCTTCCGCAGCCTGGGCCGGCGTCCCTCCATCCGCACCGAGCAGCACGACTCCCGCTGGCTCAACGGTCAGTGCCCTGGAGCATGAGGGCGGCGGGGCCGCCGGCACCCTGGTGCAGCATCACTGCTCCCTGGAGGCATCGGGGCAACGAGTCCTTCAGGCTCGGCCGCACCCCGCCCTCCGCTGCCTGCGGAGGGTGATTGGGGGGGTCCTTGTGCCCCCTGCAGACCCCCGGTGCTTGGTGAGGTCCCACCCTCACTTTGCCTCTGCCCTGCAGCTGGGCAGGGGGGGGTCTGCACCCTCCTGGGACCCCAGCGGGTGCCCGAGGGTCCCCGGGGAGCAGAGCTAGCGGGGGCACTGGAGGTGGCACCCCTCTGTCCCCAGAGCCCAAGTTCGTGGCCGTTTTTTGGGTGCCGGAGAGCGAGGACCCCGATGACGATAAGATCTACTTCTTCTTCCGCGAGACGGCAGTGGAGCGGCAGCAGGGGCTGGGCAAGACCAGCTTTGCCCGCATCGGTCAGATCTGCCGGGTGAGGGCATCCGTGGGCGGGGGGGCTGGGGGCACCCGTGGATGCCACCCACCACTGCTGACATCGGTACCCTCCCTCTCCTGGCAGAACGACGTGGGAGGGCAGCGCAGCCTGGTGAACAAGTGGACGACCTTCCTGAAGGCTCGGCTCATCTGCGCCGTGCCAGGACCCGACGGGGCGGACACCCACTTCGATGAGCTCCGTGAGTGGGGGGGTGGGGGTGGCCCCCCGCGATGCCCACGGGTGGCCCTGGCACATCAGGGCGGTGCTGACGCCCTCCCGGCTTGCAGGGGACGTCTTCCTGCTGCAGACAAGGGACAAGCGCAACCCCCTGGTCTACGCCGTCTTCTCCACCTCCAGGTCAAGCTCCCCCCCCGCAACGCTCCCCCCCGTGCCTGGCGGTGCCGTCCTCGCCCCTCACATTGCCCCCTCTCTCTCCCACCAGCTCCGTTTTCCAGGGCTCGGCCGTCTGCGTCTACACCATGGCCGACATCCGCCGGGCTTTCCTGGGCCCCTTCGCGCACAAGGAGGGTCCCAACTACCAGTGGGTGTCGTACCAGGGGCGCGTGCCGTACCCCCGTCCGGGCATGGTACGTGGCACAGGGGCGTCCCAGCTGGTGCCGCTGGTGGGATGCCGGTACCTGGGGTGGGGGCTGTGGGGAACGAGACCCTGCTCAGCCAGCGCCGCCTCCCCACAGTGCCCCAGCAAAACCTTCGGCACCTTCAGCTCCACCAAGGACTTCCCGGACGAGGTGATCCAGTTTGCCCGGCACCACCCACTGATGTACAACCCAGTGCTGCCCCACGGCCAGCGCCCCCTCTTCCTGCAAGCCGCCGTGCCCTACACCTTCACCCGCATCGCCGTGGACCGTGTCACTGCTGCTGATGGACACTACGATGTCCTCTTCATCGGCACAGGCACGTGGTGACCCTGGGGCTGGGGCAGGGGAGAGAGCTGGGGGATGCCGGGGCTGGGACCCCCGGCCTCACCCCTCCCTGCCCACAGACATGGGCACGGTGCTGAAGGTGGTCTCGGTGCCCAAGGAGAGCTGGCACCGCATGGAGCCGCTGCTGCTGGAGGAGCTGCAGGTCTTCCAGGTGAGGAGGGGGCTCCATGCCCTCCCAGTTGGACCCCCCCCAGCACCCCCTTGTGCTGCCCATGCTCCGGGTCATGCCAGGGCGCTCCAGCTGCTGGGACGTGGGAGCCGGCAGCCCGGATGCCTGGGTCCCCCCCACACGCCCTAACTCCTGCCTGCACTCTGCCCGCAGGACGCCTCCCCCATCACCAGCCTGCAGCTCTCCTCCAAGCGGGTAAGGGGGGACCCCAGGTGGGTCCCCGTGTCCTGCCGTGGCTCTGCCCGGCCCCGTGCTGAGGCCCCAAGGTGCTCAGCTCTGCTCTCCGCACCCCCTCCAGCAACAGCTCTATGCCGGCTCGGCCGCGGCGCTGGCCCAGCTGCCCCTGCACCGCTGTGGCGCCTACGGCAAAGCCTGTGCCGAGTGCTGCCTGGCCCGGGACCCATACTGCGCCTGGGATGGCACCGCCTGCACCCGCTACGTGCCCAACACCAAGAGGTAGGTGACATGCTGGGGCGCAGCACTGGGGCGGCCAGCCTGCCCCAAGGCCACGGTGAGGGGTGCAGGTCATGCTGCTGTAGCCCCCGCTCCTCCGCCACCTTCCCGCAGGCGTTTCCGTCGGCAGGATGTCCGCAACGGTGACCCCAATGTGCTCTGCTCCGAAGGTGAGCTGGGACCCGGCCACGGGGGGTCAGCCCTGCCGGGGCAGGGGGCTGACAGCCGGGCCATGTCCCCCCAGACCCCCGGCGGGGCAGCGTGCCCCAGAAGCAGCTCTATGGGGTGGAGGGCAGCACCGCCTTCCTGGAGTGCATCCCTAAATCCCTGCAAGCCCGTGTCCTCTGGACGTACCAGCACACTCTGGATGACCCCCAGCGAGAGGTAGGCTCTCCCCGGCCGGGTGCCGCTGGCGGGGCCATGCCATGCCGTGCCAAGCTGACCACCCATCCCTGTGGGTGCCACAGGTGCAGGTGGATGAGCGGGTGGTGCAGACGGAGCGGGGCATCCTGCTGCGCAGCGTGCAGCGCGCCGACACTGGCCTCTACCTCTGCCACGCCATCGAGCACGGCTTCACCCAGCCCCTGCTGCGACTCTCCCTGGAGGTGATCGGCACCCGGCAGGCGGTGGGCATGGCCCCC